GTTTTTGGCTTTTAACTACAGCAAACCTTAAGACCTTAGCTGTATACAGAGACTAAATGTTTACAAAAGCCCTTAGCAGTGTACCTAACGCTGTACCTAACAGTAAGTGCTTAATTAATGGTAACTTCTATCATTACTCAGAGCTATACTTCAGCACAGAACAGAGTAGTCAGACTTTTATTTGATGATCCCCTATGGCTAAAATAACTTAATGCTTTAAAATATTTTTACATACGGAATATTTTTTATACATTGCTCATTTCATAAAATGTGAAGTAAGAATATGACTGAAATCTACAGAGACTGAGAGAGAGCTACTACAAAAAGAGCCTTTCAAGATAAGCCTGATCTGAAATGGGCACCCTTGACTGCCAGTCCAGCCTCCTGATGAAATTCCAGAAGACTCTGGAATTACTGCGGATATGGGTTTCAGGCGCACAGTAAGAAAAGTGAGGGCTTGAGAAAGTCACTCAAGGGCTCTGTTATTTTCCTCATCTGTAAATGAAAGGGCTGAAGTCTGTGATTCATTTATGGTTTTTTGCTGTAGGATTATCCTGTGCTGCATCACAGGATAAAAATGAGTGCTGCAGAATTTAAAAACCATTATGGGTAGTTTCTGCTGTTACTCAGAGTTATAACAGTAAGAAAAGAGAGGGGGAAATAATAGAACAGTATTTTTCATCTGTAAGGTGATCTTGATTTTTACTAAATTAATCCATTTATTTTCTTTTCTCTGTTAGCACAAAATAAAAGTCCAAATTCGATAGTTTTTCTCTTCTTTATTTTCAATCTGGCACCCTCAGAAATATAATAGACAAAGGCAAGTAGAATAAAATGATACACAATGAATAAAAGGCAAGAAAAAATGATTTTTTAAAGAGAACTAGTTTTTTGAAGGTTAGTAAGACTAAAAAAAGTTATCAATAAGTCAACGTTGGCAACTTTTCTAACTCATAATAATTTTTTTACAGAAAGGCTACTTATATATAGAGATTCCACATGCATTATCTAATATGATCCTCGCAATAGGATCCTCAGTTAAAAAGTCATTTTTGTGAGACTAATATTTGTCACACCCATTCTGTTATTCCATTAATTCAAATTCTTAAATCTTGTTTTTAAAGATGGTTGTAAGACATGTCTTTGACTGTGTTAATTATAACTGACTTTAAAATCAACAAAAGTGGAAAAAATGTTTTGCCATTACCTATCCATCAATGATGATGGAGAACTTTCCAAAAGGATCTAAAGTCATTCTTTTTTGCTAAGATGAGGTTGCTACTGATAATTAAACCCTTTATTCCTTGGGAAAGGTGAAACAATGCTATGATTTGGTTTGACTTAGTTATTGAGAGACTAATGCCTAAATAGAACAATCAATTTACATGTAAATATATACACATAAATTATTTCAACCATTCTCAATTCATACGGATTCAAGAACTTGTATTTTCCTATGAGTGGAAATAGATTCCTAGAGCTACTAGCTCTTTATCAAAGTTCAGTATTTAAGGATCACCAAAATTAGCACTAATTGCAGGAATATTTTTATTAAATCTTAAAATCATGTTTAAATTTACTTAAACAGACTGAAATATTTTCATATTAAATACTTTTCCCATAGCAAGCTATATGCTTGCTCTATCTGAATAAATACACTTTGGAAGTCGTTTATGTCAAAACAATCCCAAGCTCTGCTACACTTCCAGATTAGTTTCACGGCTGTTTACTACTATAATTTATATCCTAAACTAATAAATCATAAATAAAATATAAGTGATATAAACCTACATGGAAGCCAACTTATATCAAATATCAAATATTTATTAAAAACTTAAGTGCTAGGCCTTGTGGGGAACACGAAGATGAACAAAAAGAGAATCAGTAGCGGAGTTAAGCTAAAAAATGAAAAAGTAACAATATAAGTTAAAGACGATTAGATAAAAATGAAAGATTTGAGACACGATAGTATATGGCTATCGAATTAATCATTTTGTTCAAAATGCTGACTGGGCTTAGAAAAAGGGAAAGTTAGCCAAGCATGGGTCAAGGTCCTGACTGAGTAGGCCCACGATGTGGCCAATATAGGCAGAGTTCATTGCAGAACCAGATTCAAAGTTTCAGGATAAGAAGGCTTGGAATCCAGGCTCACAGATAATCTGCTGTCAAAGCAGCTTTAAAGAACCTCTTTCATCTGCAGGGTAGAAGGTTTACCAGACTAGCCCTATCCCAAAAGCTGGACCTGGTCCATATTAACGAATTAAGCCTACTGCATTCCAGTAAAATTCCCCCTTTCTCCAATGCCCCCTTCCTTCATAAGCCTTCATTTTTTTATGTCCACGTAACCATGTTCTACAGGTAAGTTTGAGTCTTCTCATTTGGAGGAAAGAGATCATTATGATGCCTCTTCTATCAGCTCTTGAAGGGGAGTCCTCTCGTTCCCCTTCTCCAAAGTCATTTTTCTCTGGGTAAGAGCCTTGAGAATGGGAATGGACTTCGAGCCATGATTTTTCACTTCCATATCTAATGACTACAGAAATCATCTTACATACTTGATGCTCTCTTCTTGAATAATCTCAGAATAGCTGAAAGCTTTAAACTGATGGAGAAATTACTCCAAGAAACCATTTTTTCTATTATCACATCCACATGAGGCTAACAAGCATCTCTAACTGCTGAAAGCAACAGGGGTAGTTTGTAGTTTTCTGTTGTACCTGCTGAGAAGCTAGTGTGTTTTTCAACAGTTATTCCCCCGACCCCCACCAAGCAAAATATTTAAGAAACATTTGTGGCCAAGTCTTTCTTTCTCACACTCCTGGAACGTCCTAAGACCAACTGGACCTTGGCAAAAAAACAGGCTGCCAAGAATGGAGGGCCATACCTTCCCCAGCATTCTCTTCCACTGAACCTCATTTTTCTGTCTAGTCTGTGGAACAGACTCACTAACCAAGGAAATTTTCAGTTGGTCAGAGGCTTTCAGATGGTTGGGGAGGCTTTTAACCATCCAGAACTCTCTCTTAGGTGTCAAAAGAGATCTGGCTGCTCAGAAACTCCCAAACAAGGCAATTCAGTCCCTGAAGCCACCTCCTGAGCTAAAAGAAATACAGGATTCTAGGGTGTGATGATATGGTGCTATCAATACATTCAGTGTGGTTCTTGGTGCTACCGCGACAAACTTGTGTTTAAGCCTAAGGAAACATTTCCTTCATGAAGTGGGGATGTCAGGGTGTCCTGACTCAGTGTGTCATTCCATGTGTCCCTGGGGTTGATCTAGCTGATCGGACTGAGTCCTTTTTCTTCTTTGTCCAATAACTGGGCCTCCCAAAGCTATACATGACTAGTAAGAACCTTCCCAGGTAACAAAGGTGTGCTCTTTGGTAAAGAGGAGAAAGAGTATATAAGTAACTAAAATACCTGAGCTAGAAACTCAACATGAGCTCATTCCTCCACAGAATGTCTGCTTAGCTAAGTGTCAAGTCAGAGCACCCTCCACAGGGTAAAGTGTTTCAAACAAGAGTGAGGTGGTATAATCACTCTGCCATGAAGCACATCTTGGCATACCCACTTTAGGAAAAACTAGTCACACTAATAGGATTCCAAGGTAAAGTCCTTTATAGTGGCTACAACAAATATGAAATGAGTTCCTCAACTCACCAACTTAGTTTAGTGGAACTCTAATAACGGTTGTTGCATCAAACAGATTAATACTCCCAGTAAAAGAACCTATCAACAAGAGCCAGAACCAAAAACTGTAATTCTCAATTACAGAAATCTGAAAACTTCATTCTAAAGTAAAATGGCTTCACTTAAGGAAGCTAATAGAGAGATCAGACAGAATCACAGTATAAACGAAAGTTATGGCAATAGATGATTTGAAAGAAACAGGAAACTATATACTGGTTCATTGAGAACTGAAGCAAAGGCTGATAAGAGAGAACTGGAGATATGCAAATCTTACCTAAACTGCAGTATTTTGACAGTGTTCACATACCAATAACTGATTAATATTAAAACTGAAATGTTTATACTTCTAACAATTGCCAATAACATCAAGTTCACTGTACCCTCCCTTGCAACAAAAGACTATTAAGGCGTGAAAATGATACTATCGATATTTTTTTTTCTTAGATCACATTTTTTAAAGCCTATTACTGTGGTGGAAGCCTATTACTGTGGTGGAAGCTAACCAAACACAGAAGCTTTGTGTTAAAGGTGACTGTGCATTGTCAAACTGTATTCCTGCTCTGTGAGCCAGTGTGAATGAAAGAGCGTTAGTAATGTCTGCAAAACAGGGGAAGCAAAGGATGAACATTCTGCTTGGGAATTGGATTAGATGGAACTCCCACGCCGCTCTCCTTTAAGGCTAATGTGAAATATTTAGCCTTCCCATACACTTTATAAATCGTCTGGCAGCTTAGCATTTGCAAGTTAAGATTTTTTTTTCAGTTGTAAAAACAAATGAAAATACACAAGTAAATAAGTTTTAAACTAGTCCCCCTAATTATTAGAAGACACAGTCTACACACATTCTCTCCCTTCCTCATTGTTCACAATGTCTACAAATCGTGATCTTACTGCTGGAGTCTGCTTTAACTATAAATGTTTAATAACAGTTTGACATGAGAATACTGGTCTGCTTCTTGCTACAGCGGATGGGAACTAAGAGCAGGAGCTGAGATGTAGAGCATTTGGTGTTCTTAGATCACTGGTGAATGGGGAAATCCTGGACAGAAGCAGCTGGCTTTGAGCTATCTATCTATACAGGCATAGAGATCTATTTATGTGGCCCTTCTAACTAATTAATACCAAGGGAAGAGATATTTGAGCTAAGTCAAAAATACAGTGGCCATTGTGGAAGAATAACAGTATTCGAATTCAACAGAACAGTTACGTCAATAAAAGCTATAAACAAATCATCAAAGTTGTGATGACTGAAATACTGCTTATTCGTGGAGCTCAAATCAGATTCTGAGTACTTTCAGTTCTACCACAAGCCTTACCTGCAAGCAGGTGAACGGAGCTGAAGCTCTTCTCCAGTTTACCCAGAAGTACAGTGAGAAAACAGTCTGAAGACAGAGAGGCAATATCTTGGGAGCTTTGATCATAAACTACAACCCTCTGACTGCAATCAATGTCAACCTAAAATGCAAATGTGAGGCTGTCAGGAAAGAAGGAAGGCGAGAAAAACAATCCCATAAACTAAAGGTGCTGAAGTGAGTAACTGCTTCCTGTTTTAAATTAATAATCTGAATAAAAATGAGAGGCAGTCAACACAGCATACAAATGGTTTAAATGCTTGTAAAAATCAACTTTTAAAAGGTGACTTGATGCTATTTCTTGTAGATGTGTTCAAAACTCCTTGGTTTTAAATCTTTAACACTATAAAAGGGTACGGCACGTAAAACAAGCAAAATAAACGATACTTGAATCAAAGAAATATTTTAAAAATGGTTTCTATATAACAAAGAAATCAGTTGTTTAATAAAATTAAAACATAAATTCATTTTTATTCCTGAATAAAAAAAATAGCCTTACCTACCATAGAGATGATATTTTGGTATCCTAGGAATAACTCCTTTAAGATAATAAATACCCTTACGTCTTGACCAATATTATCTTACCTTTCCATAAATTAGTTTTTACTTTCTTTCCAAGCCAATAATTTCCTTTCAGTAAATTTGTAGATAATACAAAATAGTGTATTAACATATTATCAATAATATCCATGCTATTACATATTAATACATAATTATCAATAATTATCAGTAACTTGTTAATTATAACTTTTTATTAGTGTTTAAATTAATAAAACAATTTATCAAGTCATTAATGGGAAAACAGCACTTGACCAAGTTAAAACAAGTTAACCTCTCTGTATAGTTTAGAAATATTCTTAAATGTGACAATATGGTTAGTAAATTCTTTTAAGGTATCATAAGGTATCAAAGCTTAAAAAGCAACCAAACTTCCTCAAATTATTTTCTCCTTTTAAAAAATGAGGCTTCATTTAAAATTATTCCCAGTGTGTCCATTTATTTCAAAAGGAAAAAAAAAATAAAGCATTTACCTTATGTTTTGCTGAATGCTGGATGAGTTCTGTAATTAACACTTTGTCCTGTTGCAATCTTCGCTTCATAAGCTTGGAACAGTTGATATTAATGGCTTCCAAAATGTGGGAGGTATTGTATTCCACAAATGGCCGGCTATCAATTAGCAGCACTTTTTCCGTTCCACTTTCCAGCAGAGCCACCAACCTCTCAGTAACAATTTGAGTTCCAATCATCTCATGGGCCATGACAACAATAAGTTCTCTTTTCCCACCTCCTCCTTTAATTTGCCACGATGATGTAATGGTGGTGTGCTCAAAGGCTCAGCCACTCCATTGTACTAAAAATGTATGAGGTCAGGCTGGTGGTGACTGGCAAAAGGAGAGTTAAACCCATTTTCAGCAAGAGCCCTCCAAGTGAATGTCTCTTTTTCTTTCCCGTTGATGTGCTCTTGCAAAGGACTCCTTCCACAAAGCAGCCCCTCACATTTGATTCATAAAGAGATGACTGAAATAACCATTCCACAACAAAAGATGCTTTGGGGCAGCCAGTGCATTACATCATTCTTTACCTTTGCTCCCTCGCTCCAACAGCTTGACACTGGACTGAAAAGCCTACACGAAGAGAAAAAGACAGACAGAAAACAAAACATGGGGTCAAAAAAAGAAAGAGCATCAGATTAGAGAGTGTATGATTCATAATATTTACTCCATTAATTTAATTCCATACTTGATGCACTGTTTCATTTGAACAAACAAACAAAAAGGACAATTATGGCTTCAGAAAAGCATACAAATGATAATTCAGTTTTACCTCAAAATATAAAAACTCAAAGAAAACAAGACATTCATGAATTATAATCGCCGGAGGCCCAGAACTAAATGAGTTATATAGCATGTTAATTTCATGCTATAGATAAAAAGCTGCTTGAAGTATTATTATTCCAAATGGGTTTCCTCCATTTTCTTTGCTAATTTCTTAAAAACAACACAAAGAATAATAGCCTAAGACCACAGTAGCAACCCCCCATTATTAGGACAAAAAAAAAATCTTTTCTGATGGTTTGAGAATTACTATAATAGTAAGAGTGTGTGAGCATGCACATGCATGCACGCACGCACACCAAGGTGAAAATACAGCACACACCCCTTTAAATTGCCCTCAGGAAGGGGAAAAGAGGAAGGAAAATGGACGTTTCTATAAATTTCTGCTGTCTTTTAAGGAAGAGGAGGAACAAAAATGGCTGATATTCTTGTCATATCAATGCTGAGCTAACTGATGAGGCCCGTGCTGTACCCAGCTCCATCTAAGGCAGTCACAGCTATGACCCTGGCCAGTCCTCTCTTACTCCCACTCCTGGGAATTCCCTGACCCATCATACAGGCATACTCCTCACTTTCTTGTGCTTCATTCTTAAAGGAATGACTGATTCCTGCTTTAAAAAAATAATCTCACAACTTAACCTAGGATTCCAGATGAACAACCTAGACATACTGAGCCCTTCGTACTGGACCCAGTGCTACTCTGTGCTTGACCAACTCCTAATTAACACTAGTTAGAGTTTAGTGCTCATAGCTGGGATCTCAGCCTGACCTTCAATATTCTCAGATTCTTATTTCACCTGGTCCATCTCTGCTCATGTAAAATCTTTCACCACATTAAACTAGATGTCAATGTTGGCATTCAACTTCTAGAGAATAAACTATTTGATGGCAGAGGTTTTATGTTATATTTCCTTCCTCCAGAGTGCTTTGTACATAAAATATTCAATTTACGCCGTTCTAAGTAAAATCTTCCTTGCTCCAAAAACAAATTAAAGATGCTGAATACATATCCGATCAACTGATTTCAGATCAGGATGGTAGAGCCCTCAAATATCACTGGGTCCTACTTCCTAATTTTAGACTTACAAATTAGAAACTGAAGCATGGAGAAGAAGTAGCAGGACATAAAGAGAAGTGGTCTTGCCATTTACATGTTACGTAACTCTGGACAAATGATATAGCCTCGCTGAATCACAGTTTCCTCATCTATAAAATGTAGGTATAATATTGGCCTTGCTCTTCACAAAGCTTGTTTTGAGGACAAAATTATCAAAGTTCTTTAAAGTAAGTAAAAAAAGCAAATATGTATCATATAGAAAAAGGACGGAAAATGGTGAACAGAGCCTTGCATCTGGAATCTAAAAGACACCACTCAGAAGGTAAAAACAGAAGGAATTCCATCCTCCTATAGTCCAACTTCGACTAAATTGTGTCCTTTATACAGAGGCAGACACACACAGTTAGAAGGCACCTCAGAATCATTTTATTCATCCCCACATTTTACAAATCAGCTCCATAGAATACATTTGTTCATTTCTTGTCTTCATTATATTAATGTATTTATTTTTAGTATAGCTTAATGGCAGTGAGGTACAAAAGTCACCTTTATCTTCAACGGAAGAAACTAGAGCAGAAAAATAGTCCTAGTCAATCAACTAATACACTTGCAAAGCACCTGCCAAAAATATAGCACTGAATCAAATCTTGACTGTTCAGTGACACAGTTCATAGCAATGTAAGGTCCTGTACTCAGATCATCTTATTCATAAACAAGGGCTTTTACTACTGGGTTACCCTGTTTTCCCCAAATACCCGTTCCCATAATGAAACTAGACTGAGAAAGAATGACGTGACTTGTCCATGAGGGTGCCCAGGTGGCATATAAAGTGGAAATCAGAGAACAAGAGCAAGTTGACTCCAACAATGGCACTAAGTCTCCGAGTCTGATTGGCTCCATGCAGTGATAAAATCCGGATGGGACAAAGCAGTTATCTGGGTTAGCAGATCATGAGACAAAGAGAGGGAGAAGACAGCAAACATGCAAAAGTTGAATTAGAAAGTTCTCATCTTTGCTTCCCTTCAGCCAAATCTCATAAGCCCAAATCACTGAAACCAAAGATAGGGTAGGGCAAATCATTTTACTGGGCAAAAAAGGGTCATTCTTATCTAGAAAACCAGAGTCCGTAGTTCCAGATACAAAAAACCCTCTTTCC